GGCCACGATTCGCATCCATGCCAACAGTATCGCGCGGGCACAAGCATTGTAAACTCTGACCTTTAACGGTCATAAATGTTTTAAAGTGATAAAGGTCGACCGGTATTTAGCGATATGAAAGGAAACTCCCTACACAATAGTGTCGTCGTCAGAAACGTAGCTTCCTAGGTAGATAAAACTAGTAGGTTCTTCAAACTGTGCTTCGATCGTGTGCTGAGGAAGGGGTGTCTGTTAATCACGTAACAGCACTTGCGTTTGTAGTGGGCATATACCGCATTTAGACGCCTCAACTCTCGATCAGTCAAAGAGTAGGTGTATATAGCATGAGGGTGGTCATTGAGAAAATTGGTGTCCCAATATTAATGCAAGTTAGGTATGCGAACATCTGGAAAATCAACGCCAAAACGCTGAAAACCATTCAAAACTCCCAAAAGAACATTCGCGATCACAAATAGGAAAACGGAGACAAAGACAAGGCACTTCTGTCGAACATCACTAGTAATAGAGGTGGATGCACAGAGACTGCCGACGGTTCGATCCGTGTCTGAAGCATGAAAATATAGCACCCGAAGTATAGCGACCGAACTCTGCTCTACGTCTCAGGTCAAAATTCCTTTCGCAATTCATTCAGTAGTCCAGTTTGGGAAACATATCTGTAAATTATCAAAAACAACAGACTGCACTGGTGTAGAATCATGTAAACGAAATGACAGACGTTTCCGTCGCCCTCCCAGCTATCGCATTTGCTCCACATCTATGATCAGTTTGGGCGTTGCGTCCACCCTCGCTCGCCCCTTCCCACCTCGCTCTTCCAAGGGCGACAACATCATGAATCCACACAAGCGGAACGTTGACCCAATTCCATCTATGCGGAGTGAATGCGTGATGAAATGCAAGACGACTCTAACAAAATAGGCCTAAAACCTCAGTCACGAATTTCAATACGAAAAGATTTCACCGAAGCTGCAGTACGGAGGTATACAACAGCTAATTCCTTCCCGTAAGTATAAACATTTATCCATTTACCGGAAGGTTTGGGGTGCGGCAAGTACAAGACGCAGAGCAATAATGAAATGCAATCAATTGGAACCTAGCTTCCATTTGTCTCCGCGTGGATACTGATTGGAATAGATAACCCTAAGTGTATTGAGTCCCGCGGTGAATCACACCGTCGACGTTTGCGCACGGGCTTCGCAAGTGTTAGACGCACCAAGTAAATAAAGAAATAATTGTGTTCTAGTGTGTGGGCAGACATGATCTTGTAACCAGTTTTCACATGGTCAAAGGACGCGAATGGAGCAAAAACACAGGCTCCAATTTCCTGTGTGAAGTAAAACGGTTAGACATGGTAATTCCGATAAACGTGGTCTCTGACATGCCACTAAGCCTGAACGAATGCTTTAGACCCATTGAACCACGCGGTAATCGAATCAGTGAGAGTCAAATTGACTTTTGAATGAACAGAATCACAAATGAAAATAGCATTTCTTTGGTTAAGTCGGTCTACCTTGTTGGTAACAATGCCTCTCTCTAAAGGAAGAAATATTTCTTCCTACTCGTGTCTACTTACCGTGCTGATTAGCTGCATGCACTGTCCGATAAGTCCACAACACTACAAGAGACTGACCAGGAGTGCTGCAGCGTACCATTTCGCCACACGTTTATTATCGAAATGCACAAAAATGGTTCTCTCTTACCATTTCCCACTTTTAAAGTAGCAATCTTGTCGGACTACTGACTGGCAACCTCAAAATGTGCGAGCGGTACAAATCAATTTAGATTCAACCCAAAATGCTGTATGGACTACGGCATAGCGCTGTACGCCTCGGCACTGGTTCCGCCTATAGTCAGATCACCAGTTCACACGACATATGAGCAACAAAGAATGTAGTGAATCGCCCGCGTAGAGGCGCGTGTTCTCGTGGTATACTCAGCCCACGCGCGGACTGGTGGTGGTCGCGCGGCAGCAAAGCGCTGTTAAACCGTACATCTGACACTCGCAACAAGCAAGGGACACCTGTATCGATGGAGTTCACTGAGATTGGCTGCTTATGAACACGTCTGAAATATGAGGTTATTAGTTAGAAGTGGTGCAACAAGCATAAATGAATGGAACTGAGAAAGGAACACTGTATGTTAAGCTCATCAAGAGAATGATCGCGTTTATCAACGATGTCTGCGAAATATTTATCCTATCTGATGTGAAAACCGAGTGAGTGAGAATATAGTTTTCTAGTATATGCCAATTTCCATGAGGAAATGATGTTCGGACAACTGATGTCAAAAATGGTGATGTATCGACGCAGTAAAGTAGAATGGATAGACATGAAAACTGGGCGGATCAGAAGAGCTTGTGGCGTGAAAAGAAATGTTAGTAGACAGGATGTGCAAAGAACGTTTTGAACACCCACGCGTGTCGCTGGCCCCAGCCACAAGTTGCCTTGTGCCTCCTGGTTCAAGATCTTTTACTGAATCGGCTCAACAACACTCACGTGATCCCCAGCGGTTCCTATCCCAACGCTGGCTAGCCGAACAACCCCCACGTGGTGCTAGCTGAGTGGTTCGGGTTAATCCCATTGCAGCGAACAGTACGGCGGCAGTGTTCCATGACGTGGTGGGTTTTCGCTTGGAAAGTGTTCTCCCTAATAAAAAGCCACAAAGGTCCGTTTTACAACAATGCGACGTGGCGGATGTGACTCGCCACTAAATAAGGGCACTGTCTCTTCCCCTTCCGGAGGATCCCCACTTCACGAACATCATCCAATTCGAAGAGTTCCGTTGATCCCTTCATACGATGGCGAACACAGCAAACGAACTCACGAATTCAGTCACATTTCAGAAGTTCACACAGCACGCCCACTAATACTACACTTAGATATATACAGACACGCAAATCCAGTATGTTACCGATTAATTTGCTATATTCATACCATTACCGAGCATACCTGCGTGTATTATTATTATCATGCTTTTGCGGGTGTGCCCCCTACTACCGGGAATAAAGCATTTATTTGTTTATTTATCTATGTTGTCCTACTTTTTGTACAGGCTCTCGTTACGGTACACTCGATATTGTGACGTTGTTTGCCTCAGCTCGACTGCTTAGATACCTTTTCTCAGTTTAAATCGGCGAGTTTGCGAGTCAGTCTTGCTCCCACGTAGGTTCACGATCATTTATTAAACATACGTGAACATACACATGCACTTTGGATTGGTCGGTTTTCCGGGGCCCCCGCTGCGCCTTATGGACAATGATTGACTGCCATCCCCAATGATGGTTCATTGCTCAGTTACAAAGACCTGTAACCTTAAGGAGCACAAGCGTGCCTTGTAATTCGAGGGCGCTGGTTCGAACCTGCGTAGGGACTGAGCGATCCTCGCAGTGCCCTTGGCACATGCGCGACTGGTGGTGGTTGCGCGGCAGCGAAGCGTCGATACTGTGTACCGGTGTACTGCTGAGGCCGAATGTTTGCTTGCTGGCAAAGCCTGACTCCGCTCGGCAAAAGGTCGAATTTTGATCGCATAATTGTGGTATATTTTGGTGAGCTGAGGTTTATGATGAAGTTAATGTTCTAACCCTTTGAGAAATAACATCGCAGTTCAGATACGGCTTTGATTTCTGGACTGATATGGGGGTTTAACGCGCTGCACAAGTCCGCGATATGACTTGTCGTTTAAACGGTGGATGACCCGATTCGGTCGACGAAGAGAAGGTGAGTGGATACCAAAGATAGCAAACAATACAAAACAATAGAGTATCCATCATCAACATCATCATAACACATAAACTGAAAGTAAGAAACACACTTCAACTATTGTGCCGCAATACATAAAGACATACGAAAAAAGCAAGACGCTGAAAAGTATAGAATGCTGAAAAACAGGCGACAAACCACTTAGTAACACATTATACGTCAAGAGAAAGATCAAGGTTGGAGGGGGAAGATAAGCAGGATAAGGAATGACAAACGTCATTGGGACCGGCACCTTGCCATGTCAATTAATGTATCCAAACAAACGGGTTCATCGCCCTTAGGAGCCCAGTCGAGCAGTCGGGACACAGCAACCGACGCCAAATTCGAAGTGAGGGATTCCATTCCCCTTGACCACTCCTCCTCCTCCTCTTCCATCCAGACCTAGGGCGCGTGAGCTGCACGTCACAGGAGTCGGTGTGCTGGCATGCGCAACACGTGGCCCAGCCATCGGAGCCTGCTGTGTGATATAACGGTGCTGGGCGGTTCACTAGCTCTTCATGTACCAAATAGGCGACGCCGAACACGCTCATTGTGCACGTGGTGCTCACACCAGACATGAGCTAAGCTGCGAAGGTAGCGATGATCGAACGTGACTATCGACTTGATGGGCCAGGTTTCGCAAACGTACAGTAGGGTTGCAAGAAAGAATAAGCTAACTTAATGGAATAGTTTGAAGATGGGGTTAACTCTAGAGACATAGAAGTGCACCCCTGAATTAAAAGCAACAGCTAATCAACATTGTAAATGGATAAAAATGCCTGTTTTTGTCATGAGGAATCCTAGAGGCCGCCAGCACTCATCGAAGAGATAAAACTGACTAGTAACATTCGTAGGTTGCATGGCTACCAGTGCAAGAATGGGGTGGAACACCAAATAAATCCACTGGGATGCGCGAAGAGATTGTGCCACTGCTTCACACTCACGAGGACACCGGTACAAGCTTGCCGTACCCGCTTTGTAACGAGTCGCTAACCGACTCTGCTTCGAGCGGATAGTGGTGAATACTTGGAACAACTTGCATGCAGATATAGTCGAAGCAAAGTCGGTGTCGGAGTTTAGGAAACGCCTGGACTTGCACTTTGCCGACCTGAGATATCGAGAATAAGTATCATCATAATAGGTAAATTTGCTTAAAATATATTAGATGCAGCTATACAGAGGCAACTCTACTCGCTGCATATTCTGTATTCAGTATTTAAACAGACGGTATATGTCTAAGTTATTGAGCCGGATCGCCAGACTCACTTCGTCACAAAAACCAGCAAAATCCTTCAAGTTGGTTATGGCTTCCCGATAGTTCAACTCCTCGTCATATTGCCAAGGTTTGATGTAAATGCCTGTAGAGATAAAGAGAGGCAATCCAGATCAGGGAAACATCCAAAAAGTTGGAAAACGGGAAAAGAAGTATCAAAACAGGGAATCAACAGTGACAGCAGATGGAGCTTGAAAGCATCCCACGGGGAGTATCGGGGGTACACAGGATGTGCCGTTCAATGGGAGACTGAAGAAACCTGTGGGCTGGGAAACGGAGGCGCCGATGAGGAAATTTCATCGGAACAAGTGCGTGAATAAGAGGTGGTAACAAGAAAGAAGAAGAGAAATGAATTAAAACAAAGTAGGCAAACATCCGAGAACTTGGCTGAATCAGTAATCCAAAAAATTCCCTTGATTCGTTCTAATAAACATCCGGGAGTCGGTAATTACCGTGGCAGCAGTAGAAAAGCAGGGTTACATCAAACTTGCAAGTGTGGTTGGGGGAAAATGCAATTTCACACAACCTGGGGGATGAAACTGGAGAGAACGATAAATAAGGATGTCGCCAAAAAGGAGGTACCTACCTCGACCATCATCTTAGTAGCGCAGCAATGATGGTATTTAGTTTAAAGTGCTTACGAGAGCAGCTTTGCGGCTAACTCTGACAGAACCTAGCGGTTCGGTGTGGAGCAGATGCAACGTGGCTTCGCTAAGCGCGTCGAGTCATAAACAGTACAACTGAGTTAGTGGAAGAGTAATACACAACTCCTAAAAATCTTGGGTTATTAGTAGGGATAACGCACGGCATGGAGACCCCTGAAATGCACGGCTCGCAAGCTAGCTGTCAACTTTGTGGATTAGCAGGGTCATAGACAACAGAATCATCCGACGTCAAAGACGAATCGGCGCATCAGGCCAGTATTTCAAACGAGACTCGGTGAAAGTAGTAGAGCAGTCAGTGTACCGGAAGTTGCTGGTAGAAATAACAGATCAGCCTGTTATCGAGGCGCCGTTGATTGATCGACAATGGTCGATGACACCTGAACGCACTCCTTGGCAAATGGTTATCGTGTTGGACTGAGGTAGAGAGCGCCGTTAGTTATTTCTATAAACAGTTCAGTTATGCATAACAAAGACAGGTAAAAACAAGACGAAAACTAAACAGTTAAACCAGAGTTGTAAACAAATGATAAAAAACGAACCCCTGAACGGATGCGGATAGGCAATAGGAAGCAAAAATGCGGATGTAAGGGAGCCGTAGACTGTTCTCCGGTTAAATGCAACCCGTGAAAGCGTCAATGTCAAAGTCCTGTTGGTGCAGTGGAGACTTACAAACCGGTACTCACTAAACAAATGGTGACTTGAGCTCAGGACACTCACAAATTGATAAAATCATTGAGTACGCGTCGTCGGGAAGTGAGAAAGTAAGAAAAATTTTCACCGAACACAGAGCTTTTATACTCGAATAAAACTAGCTCCATTCAGCGTAGGGCTGTTACTATCCAGTGTTCCCTGCTAACCCACCGGTTAGAAGAAGAAGAATGCATGCGACGTGGCTTCAGTAATCACGCAAAGTCATGGACAGAACAGCGATAAATTAGAGATGGAAACATTATGGCTTCGGAGGCTAGCCATACAATGTGGATTGTATACCAACGACAATCATATCAACCCTGCTGGGTGTTAGGCCGATCAAAGGAAAATGTTCTCACCGTCGAATATTCTGAGGGCAGTGGGCGTTATCATAGCATATTAGAGGCACCCAAGGAAAATATAACATTCGACCGTCCAGCAATGATTTCTGTGTACTTGACACGTTATCATTACCCCAACTACAAATGTTGTGAGTGGATCACGGATACGATGGGGGCACAAACAGCAACTGAAAATGGAGGGGTTTCAGGGTTGCTCTCTCCCATTCCTGCACACCACGACGCGTTTCGTCCTCGTTGGACTCATCAGGTAGAGAGTGAAACTAGGCACACAGTGGTTGGCGGCTGTCGCCATGATCACTAACCCACTGAGCTTCGCCAGAAGAGCTTGACACAGCGGTTAGAGGTTAAGTGTCGGCGAGTATTCCAAAACCCTACAATCAGCGACCAAAAGTGATTTAAGGACGTAGACGAGCACGCTACATGGTGACACTTTAGCGCGGTGGATCAGTCGGATAAGTAATCATCTCTGCCTACTCGATAAACAAAGCCATGAAGAGAGCGAACCGCAGTAAACTCTCGTCATAGGACGACCTGTAAGCTGCAGCCCAACACTCTTAGATCGCCCGTTGGTGTTCCGTTTTTAAAGATCAGTGTTTCTTGCCCCTCAACCAAACATAAAAGGCTAGTATCCTGAACATCATTGAAATGGCCGAAAGCAACCCTTTTCGTCCTATTCTAAACGCTCCCGCTTAAAATACCATACCATAGAGTGTCACACTGAGTTATCATTCATTCAGTATATGTGACGAATATTTTGGTAGTGATAGTGATGGAACAATTCAGTGCTTTCAGGTGTTTCCTTATTGCCATTCGAAAAAGTCAACAGCAGTACGCCGGCACACAGTACCGAAGCATCGCTGACCCGCGATCACCACCGGTCCCCCGTGAGCTGAGTAGACAGCGACGACGCCCGCCCGTACACGGATTCCAACCGGTGACCTAAGGGTCGTAAGCCAGATGGGCAATCCGTTCGGCCACTGGCGAACAGGTAAGTGTAGAGAAAATTAGGCAAAATATCCACTCGGGTAAAAGGATTGTTCCGAAGAAAATAGCCTATGGAATAGGGTTGTAACTGGTCTGTGTGATTATTTTATGTATAGTTCATGAGAGTTATGCTTTTGTGGCTTTCGAAAGAACAGTGTGAAATTAATAATGGCAAAAATAGTCGTAATAATAATTAATTAGTAAACAAATAGTACATTCCTCAACAGTGCGAGGAACAGTTCAACTGAGTGACTTGATTAATTTGAGCTATCAGTGGGGTCAGCAGTTGGTTGGATACTCCAGCAACGTGCGTTAATCGCTTCGGCTAGGGCAACTTAAGCATCTTAATTGACCTGGGCAACCGGGAGGCTCTCTGCACACACAAACAAATAAATCCAGTTACCCCTTCCTCTGACCACCTCGTTTTGCCGTTTATGTTACTGCTACATATGTCTTGTTTAGTTGTGCTGCTACTGTTGTGCCATGGGCTCATGTCCTGGACGCCTCCTCGTACCGACCGCTGGGTGGGAGTTGAGTTACGTCCTTCTCCTTGCTAAGAACCAGGACACCAATCCGCATGAGTCAGTGAACTGACCATGTGCTAGACTTGTTGCCTTTCGGGTGTACATTTAATCGAAAGCTTTCGCTGCCGACCCGAGTCGTTCTCCTGTCAAGTGTGGGCGCCCTGCCAGTATCCTACTCCATCATCTTCGGAGGTTAAGAAGTGGTCGATGGCCCTCCTCCCGTAAAACCTAGCCATGTGAGGCAACAGGTCTACGGGTTATAAGCTCACAGCTCGATTGACGTAGAGCACGAGCGCCACGCATTGTCTCTGACGGTGGAATAACACCTCCGGGTGTTCAATGGTTTGCTATTGCCCGCCTCAAGCCAGACAGCCCCTGGTCAAATCGGTGCAAACCCGCCAAAACCCACCTGCATCTGGCCGTGGGCGCAAGTGCCTGTCCTACTACGGTCGAAAACATATAAGAAGCGTTCCATTACATTCAAGGCTGCGTGTGACCGCCGTCAACCAGATCCCAATCTGTCTCTGTAATCACATTCCCGAGATGGATCTGCTCTCCACTGCCTTGTGGGTCAGCCTATTGAGCCAAACGCTCCAGTGGAGTACCTCACGCAAACCTCCAAAGCACAACCGCCACCTCGTCAATGCAATCGTATGCCTGCGCGCAAAGCACTCAGCATCGAGTGCTGGAACGTGTGCACACTACTGGACCGGAACTCGAGTGAGCGCCCCGAGCGACGCACTGCACCCGTGGAGATAGAACTAGCGCGCTGCAACATCGATATTGCGGCGCTCAGTGAGACCCGGCTTGCTGAGCAACGTAAGTTGCATGAAGCAAGTGCTAGCGACACGTTCTACTGGGTAGGCAACGCCACCTTAGCATGTGAATATGGCGTCAACTTTACAATACCCGATCGCCACCATGGCCACCTGGTGAATGAACCAACAGGCATCAGCGAGCGATTGATAACTGTTCGCCTATGACGCGGAAGAGGTAAGTTTGCCACTTTTATCAGCACGTACGGTTCTACCATGTGTTATCCTGATGACACGCGTGATCAATTCTACACTCAGCTATCCTCCGTGATACGGTCTGTGCTGAGGTGCGACCGAATATTTCTGCTGGGTAATTTCAACGCGCGCATTGAACGTGATGCATCAGCGTGGACAGATGTTATCGGTGCGCATGGCATTGGTTCAGCGAATGCGAACGGTGACAAGCTGCTCTCACTGTGTGCCACTCACGGCCTGACGATCACGAACACTCGGTTTGCATTGAGTGGGAGTGATATAGTAACTTGGAAGCACCCACGGAGTGGTCACGCTCACCTGTCATCGTACGTAAGCATGGTATGCGTGAAGTGCGCACCACAAGTGTACTGCATGGAGTTGAGTGTGACACTGATCACAAATTGGTGCGCACCAAACTGTACATATATTTTCGTAAATCTATGTATTGCACTCCTGCCGTGAACCAGCGTAAATTTAACATTCCCCCTCTCGATATTGTGAAGAAACGTATTGAGCTAGAGAAGGCGATGGCTGTGTGTGTGTGTGTGTGATGTGGAACGCATAGCCACAGTGGGCAACCTGTGGCACCACATTCGCAACCCGGTGACAGCTGGTGCCCAGGAGACCATCGGGTGCGCAAACTGCAAGCGGCCTGATTGGTTTGATGAGAACAATGCGACGACTGGTGCATTGGTGTCGGGGAAGAATGCAGCATTTCCTGCACATGTGGCAGACCCCAGTGACTTGGGGAAGAAGAGTCAGTTTCGCAAACTTCGACGGCGACTGACCTGAGAGCTCCGTCGCATTGAAAATGCATGCTGGACGGAGAAGGCGAAGCAGATGGAATGCT